CTAGCACAGCTCCTTCATCCTGCTGGCATAGACTTTCTGGCTTCCACCGCTGACCCTTGGGTCTTCCCGGCAAGAATCCGTAAAAGAGACTGGCGTGAGTCCTTGTGGGCCCTGGACTTCCAGTTGGACTCGTGGAGGCATTGCTCTGAGCTCTGGGTTTTTATCTGGACTCATGTGGGACATTGCCATGGGGTTTAGACTCGACTAAATAATCTATGTCGTTGGTGTTGCGGATGAATTTCCTGCATTCTCCTGTGTTAACTTCCGGTGACCATTATAAAAATATTATAAACTCCATGTCCTGATCTGAATTGTTCTCTGTGTACAACCCCTGACTACAACAATAACATATGAAAAGGAATGGGCTGGGGATAAGCATAAGTGCCTGCCTGGCAAACAAAGGGTCATGAGTTCAATCCCTAGTACAACAACAACAACAAAAAGATATAGAAAGGAAGTCAGGTATGGTGGTGCACACTTGTAATCCCAGCACTTTGGGAGGGTCAGGCAGAAGAATCACTGCAGGTTTGGGAGCAGACTGGGCTATTAAGTGGGGTTCAGGGTCAGCCTGAACTTCAGAGTAAGACCTTGTCCCAAAACAATTTTATTTTTAGAAAGGTAGCTAGGCGTGCTGGACCACAGCTGTAATCCTAGCATTCTGGAAGGCTGAAACAGGCAGATTGTGAGTTCGAGCTCATTCTGGGCACCTTAGTGACTTAGCAAGAACCTGTCTCAAAATAAAACAGAGCTGCATATGCAGCTCAGTGGGAAGGCCCTGGGTTTAATTCCCAGTACCATAAAGGAAAAAAAAAGATTTGGAAAAAACATTTTAAAAAGATTTTTTAACCTGTCATTGCTTGAGTATGTGATTATTTACTTAGAAATATTATTTTTTTTTGTCTTTTTCATTTTTATCAGTACCAGGGATTGAACTCACGACCGCCTGCTTTCAAGGCAGGTGCTTATGCCGCAGAGCTAAATCCCCAGCCCCTAGAAATATTATTTACATAGAAATTATTTATATAGAAATAACTACATGCTACATAAAATAAGGGTTTACCAAGGTTGCTAGGCCAAATCTATTATATTTTTATATATCATTATCTACAACTAGAAAATCTGATGAAAAGGTACCATTTTCATAGTTTATAGGAATAAATCTATCAAAAGATGTGCAAGGGTTCTGAAAAAGGGAATTATATTCTTATTATTTTCTCAAATTTTTATTATAATGATAAATATATACAAGAAAAAAATTAACATCTTTTATCTATATTTTTTTTTCTTTTAGTACTGGGCATTGAGCAACATCCCAGCCCTTTTTATTTTTATTTTTATTTGTTTTGTTTTGTTTAGACATTGTCTAACTGAATTATCTAGGCTGACCTCAAACTCAAGATCCTTTTGCCTCAGGCTCCCAAGTAGCTAGAGTGATGCATGTATCTCTCTGTACCTGGCAGTTTCCTTCCTTTCGAGGCTGAATAATATTCTGTTGTGTGTACATACCACATTCTGCCTATCTACATATCTATCAGTGGACACATGGGTTCTTCCAGCTATTATGAATAATGCTGTCATAAACATGACAGCCCTATTAGGATATAGTTTTCAGAGACCTAAATAACTGAAGGATTGTGCACAGTCTTGAGCAGAACACTGTATTAAGAGAATATTGATGCAGATATTTGATTTGAACATAAATCCCAACACGACTTTTCTTATTGACTTCGGTGAGATTTCCTAAAAGGAGGACAGAATAAGGAAAAGTCAACAACAGAGGGTCATTTCTGAGGAACAGAGGATTCTCCCTGCCTGAGTTAGGACTTCTGATGCTGGGGAGCCCTAGGTCCATGCTTCCTCCCACTCAATCTGCTGGATTAATTGAACTCGGGCAATATCTACACTGTTTTAAGCCTCACTGGGATTTTTTGTTTGGTTCTATGTTAGTGCCGCAGTCCCCGACACTGGGCATATCATTTCCTTCCTCGGAGCCTCAAATTTCCCATGGGAATCTTGGCAGGTCTTCTGAGATAAAGCTGATAGAGGACATGGAGCTTCTCCTATGCTAGAACCAATTATTATCCTTCACCCAATCAACAGAAATTTATTGAAATCAGTCTTTAAAAGACCTGGTTGTAACTGGGAGTGGTGGTGAATGCCTGTAATCACAGCACTTGGGAGGTTTGAGGTAGGAGGATCACCATGAGTTCAAGGCCAGCCTGGGCTACATGTTGACTTCAAAGCCACCCTGAACTATACACAATGAGATCCTGCCTCCAAAATAAACAGACATGGCCAGGTATACAGCTCAATAGCGCAAATGCCTACCTGGCAACAAAAGGTCCTGAGTTCAATACTCGGCATAAAGAAAAAAAAACACCTGGTTGTTTTAAAGACCACTCCACCATGTCTGAATCCCAGAACATGGAGATTCCATCCTTTGTAAAGTCACCAGTTGTCCATAGAATGGAAAGACACACTTGTCAGGACAAGAGCCTCACATCTGTGGATGGCCACACTTGTCTTCTCTCCAAGAGCCATGAGCTATCCTGTGATGCCTGATTAAAGGTGGATGGAACCAATCTTGGGAGAGTCTCATGATCCCAGAGAACGGAAACAACACATTCAAGATGTTCCCGGAGGCTGAATACTGGGCACATTAGAGCCGCCAGGTAACCTGCAGACTCCAAGGATATTCTCAAATGTTTCACTTTCTGAGGATTCCATTTAAGAATGATGGGGTTGAATTTTGCCCCAGACTGCAGCCTGATTTTTATATAATGTGAAAAATATACAGTAGTGTGACATAAATATGTGGGTACTTGTGTGTCCCCACAAGAAAACCCTGAGGCCTTAAAATGAAAAAAGCCCCAGACCCCATGCTTTGTCCCCTTGTGAAGACCTACCCTCATCAGCCACCAGCTACCTCATACCCTCCCTGGCCCTGCTGGACATGGTGTTGCAAGCAATTAATTAGACATTGGACAATCATGGCATTACCCAACCTGAGCCCCAGGCCCCAGCCTACCCCACATAACATTTTAGTGGAGTGAGGATCCCATAGCCCCAGGGAAGGAGTAGTGGGGTGCATGAAGTCTGAGATACAGAACAGGATAAGGACCCCAGGGCTCCACTAAGGTCCAAGAGTGGGAGAAGGTCTTTCTCTTCCTAGGTGAGTCTTCAAGACCTTTCTATTAAGATAGAAAGTTTGGATCTGCTTTGGGAAAGCAGAGATAGAGTAAACACCCCTGGCAGGCACCCCCGGCAGCCACCCCTGGCAGCCACCCCTGGCAGCCTCCCTTGTCTCCTGTAGCCCAGCAATTTGGCCTGGCTCACCACTTCCTGTCATGTAGGCCATCCCTAGACCCAGGCTTCCAAGCAGGAGACATTGGAGGGAGCTTGGGGCCAAGCATTTTGATGACCAGTGAGCAAGGCCCAGTGCAACAGGACACAGAGGCCAGGGAAAAGGGGTGGGTCTCATCTCTGACAGAAGAATCACCCTATCCAGGAATGTAGGACCTGGCAGACCGTATGGCTGGACATCTTCAGTTTGGGGCCCTGGACACACTGGGTTAGAAGGGTAGCCCACAGGTAGACTGTGGCTTACAGGTGATGCCTGGCCTGCCTAGCAGCCTGGCCAGTGCTGTCCTTTTCTAATGGGAAGGGACCTGTCTTTGAAAGACCTGAGTCACTACTCCCCATAAGAGGCTTCATCGGGTCTCAAGGACACCTGTCCTTACTATCCTGCCCTGTAGGAGCTAGGGGCTCATGACACCCCAGGAGCATTCTTGTCACCATTCTGGGGTACACAGGTCTCCATCACTGATGCCAAGGCCAGGACCAAGATCAGAAGAGCTCCCCAGTGAGCATCATACCTGAATAAGAGGCTGCAGGGAAAGGAACCCTAGGCCAAGTTCTAGATTGGTGGTGATGGCAAAATCACCACCATGGGCAAAGTATCCCCATCCCCAGAGACTTTGCTTTCTCAAAAGTCAAGAACCAGTGCAGACAGGGTATAAGATGGGAGCCTGCAAATGGAGTCAGGGCCCCTCTCACCTGGAAATGGTCACCTCTAGTGGTTGATTGATTGTGTCAACTTGAGACAGTTAGAAGCTAACTAAATGGGTTTAGCAATTCTACACCCAAGGATGTAGAAGAAGACCCACCCTAGGGTGAGTTATCACCTCGAGGTATAAAAGGAGAGGAGGAAGGACAAATCTATGCCCTTCTTGGGAGAAGCTCCAGTCTTCGCCTTTAGTTTGGACCTCGCCTCCTGGCTTCCAGTACAGACTCTTCAGCTTCCCAGCGTAGACTCTTCAGCTTTTCATCACAGAGCCTTCGGCCTTCTGTCGCAGACCCATCAGCCTGCTGTTGTGGACTTGCACAAGACACTAGGGTGAACTCCAGAGATCTTCGATTGAACCCTTTGGCCTCCAGTGCATAGACACCCTCTGTACGCTTCATCATCGGACTCTGTGACTGACTATCGTAAGCCAATCTTGTTTCTGTATATTCCGGGTTGTATCTGTTCTCTCTAGTAAAACCCTGACCAATACATCACCCCACCAAAGAATCCATGTGACCCCCATCATCACTCTGCCCTATAGGAACCTGACTTGCTGTCACAGTCTAGGCCAACTGGGTTAGTCTCTGACAAGCCCAGAATCACATAGAGCTCCACTCCTGGGTTGCCCATTAGCCTGTGCAGATGTCTCCACCACAGGCCACACTTTGCCCAAGCAGTCTGTGAACACAGTCCCCAACCACCAGGTCTGGAAGCCATCATCTTATACCTGGGCCAAAGTAGACCCTTGATAATGAGGTAGGGGAGGACAAGCCAAACTGTGCTCCCTGCAGCAGCCCCCCACAAGGAATATCCTGTACATAGGGCCCGAGCACCCCCCATCCATACCCAGCCCAGTTCTGCTCTGCCCAAAGGCTATAGCTGAGACCCTAAGGGAGTGTCCTGTAGCGACAAAGTAACTTAGTCACACAGAAGATGCTTTGTAAGATTTAATGAGCTCCAAAGAGTGAGCAGAAGGAGTGGATCCTGGCTCTCCACACCCATTCAATGCACACCCCCTTTCAGGGTGATGAGAACCTTTAGGATCTTCCCTGCCTCTTCCTGAAGGGATGAGGCAACAGGCTGGGGGCTGGGGGGTAGGGAAAATTGCAGGGCTTTGAGCAGTGAGGTTAGGATGTGGAAGGCCCTGAAGAGGTACCAAGGAAGATTGGGGGTCTCTCCCACTAGGAGGATTCCACCTTAGCCCCACATAGGGCCCAGGAATTTGGGAACATAGTGGTAGATCCAGGACACGTAGCTCATCACAGAAGTGTATACGCCAGGGAGGGCACAATGACCACAGATGTCACCCCAGCTCACCACACCCACCTGCACCCAAGTGCAGTTCCACATGCAGACCAGGGGGCCTCCGGAGTCACCCTGTGCAAAATGGAAGACACAGTTGGCCCTCCTTGCACTCTGGCACTGGGGCCAGGAGGAACAGAGGAGAGAGTACAGGTCTGGAGTCTCACCGAGCAAGGACCATAGTTCTGGTTCCCAGCACACAGCATGTCATCCTTAATGAACTGGCCAGTGTGTCCCGAGAAATTATGGCGATAGAGCTGCTCACAGTTCCTTCTACTCTTGACCTTTACCTCCACCTCCTGCAAGTTGAAGGGCTGGGGAAGGGGCTCTGCAGAAGCAAGCAGAGTCAGGCTGGGGGCTAGGATACCAGGATTCCTGCTTCTTGCCCATACTGGGTCTCCCTGGCCTTTGGTTTGGAGCAGGAAAAGGATTCAGCAGGCACTGTGAGCCTACGTCCCTAGGCCTGGGGGCTTCAGGATCTGCTAGTAGGAGAAGCAGATACCCAGGACCCTCAAGACTGTACCATGATAAGGCTGGAGTAAAGAAACAAAATTTGCCTACATATCCTGCTTCAAGAACTGGCCAACAGGGAACCTGGGCCAGCTGGTAAGCACCCTTATTCTGGGGTTTCTTTTCTACAAAGGAAGGGACTGCTTTCATCTGAAGAGAGTGATTAGGATTCAGTAAAAAGTACATCAGTTTAGGGGGTGAATGGTGTATCCCCAAAAGGATGATTCATCCATATCCTGAGCCCTGGTGCTAAGGTCATAACTCCTTTACAGGGTCTCTACAGGGTCTTTACAGAGTCTTTATAGATACCACCAAGTTACGACAAGTAATATTGGGTTAATATGGGTCCTAAGTCCAGTGACTCATATCCTCAGGGAAGATGGGCAGAGGAAATTGGGACACGGGCACAGGGGACCATGTGAGGTAGGGCATGGAGGGACACAGTTATATGACTGGAAACCCCTGGATAGCCACCAACACCAGGAAAGGGATAAGAATAGTCCCAAAAGGCATCAAAGGAGCCAGTCCTGCCAACTCCTGGACATGGCCTTCTAGCTCCCAGAGCAATAACGTTATTCTAAGCTGCCTGCATATACCATCCATATTGACAGTCCCAGGACAGCCATAGGGGACTTCAAATCCCCAGTGAAAGATTTCCACTACAGCACTACCACATTCCTGGACACCTCCCTTAAGTTCCCGATCCAAGTATTCCTAATACTTACCTCTAAATCTGATGTCACCCCAGCCGGTCACCCAGCAGGTCTTTCTCATGGAGACCCTCAGGGAGGCATCAGGGAGGGAGACAGGGTAGATGTCCTCTGACAGTGCCACAGGGGCATTCAGTCTCAGCAGGGCGATGTCCCCACCTCCCTCAGCAGACAGGCTCTCATTGTATTTGGGGTGGCGAATGATCTGAGTCACCTTCACCAGTCGGTCATCTTCATAGAGCCTCAGCTGCCCAACCTGGACCCTGAAGGCACAGGCCTCCAGCTCCTCCCTGGAGAGAGATCACCACAAATCCCTCAGGAGAAGGCCTGCAGGCCAGGGAGGCTGAGCTCAGCTCAGTTACCAGGATTGGGCCAGACACGCGGGACAAGGCTGGCCCTGTAGCCTGGGTACAGCCCAGAAATTCTGCCTCCCTCCTGATGGCTCTATACCCAGCCAAGAGCATGGATGGCCCCACTTACGGCTCAAGACAGTGGGCAGCAGTCAGCACCCACTGTGGGTGGATGAGCGAGCCCCCGCAGAAGTGCTCCCACCGGAGGCTGTTCTGGCTGTAGAACCGCAGGCTGACTTGCCATGGGAACCTCCTGGCTGAGACAGGGCAGCCCCCAACGATGCCCACCAGCTCCTGACCTGGCTGGAGGTCTGAGGGAGTAGGTGGAGTAGTTGTCAAGGCATGGATAGAGGTACTTGGGACTCAGAGTCAGCAAGGCTCCTGGCAAGTGAACAGCCCCAGCACTTGTCCTGTGAGCCCTGAGAACAAGGATGGGGTCAGGGCAGATAGGGTATGAAATAGGGTCGGGACTCACCAGGGGTCATGGGAATGGAGCTCCCCAGGCAAGGGAGAGCCAAGAGAAGCAGCCACAGCATCTGTAGGGAAGGTCAGGCCTCGGTGAAAGTCCAGAGGCTGGATCCTGGGGTCTAGGCAGAGGCTCGGAGTGGGGTAGGAAACTCACCATTGGTCCCTCTGCCCTGTGCTTCTGGCCACTTTGTGAGCCCCTTATCTCTCAGATAGAGGAAGTGGGTGGGTAGGGAGCAACCCACCTCCTGGGGACTTCTGCAGAAAAGAGCGCTTCTGGATGGAGACCAGTGGAGTGAATGTTAGCAAGTGGTTCCAAGGTATCGGAATGACCAGGTCTCACCCAGTAAGTGAGCCTGAAACCTGAGCATCAGTGCAAGGGGCTGAGGGTGAAGAGGAACTTTAAGAACTATGACACAGTGAGGGGACTAGGATGCATAGCTGGGAGAATATGGTTGAAGGCAGTGTCTTCCTGATCCCCAGGCCAGGCCTCCTCCCAGCCTCATCCACTATCTTCGGAACCAATGGATTTGATTCTGGGACTACAGAGCATGATTCTCTCTTGGACCCAACCACCACACACACACTGCTTGCAAAATAACCCAGTGTGCTCTCAACCTGTGAGAAGCTAAGGCTAGAAACAAGGCCCACAAGACAGGCTTTCAGCAATTAGGGGCCAGTAGGAGACACTCAGAGTGGGGAGCAAAAGGCACCATGTCCCCTCTCGGGGACATTTCCCTGGGGGCTGGGGTACAGATAATAAAAATTACTGAGTCTGAACTTGTCAACAGCTCTCAGCAAAGAAGGATCTAAATCCAAATTCATTCTTTCACTGGACATGGTAAAATAGGCACACATGCCTGTTATTCCAGAACTCAGGAAGCTGAGGCAAGAGGATTACCAAGAGTTTGAGTCAGACAAGGTTACATAAGTGAGTTCAAGTCCATCCCGAACTTCGAGAGACTTTGTTGCAAAACAAACAAACAAACAAGTTCATGTTTCTAAGTAGTGCCTGTGCTCACCACTAGAGGAGACCTGAGTGCCCAGTGGCCCTTCTTTCTGGATAGGGTCCTCGGAGTGTCAGCATGCCACTGGAAGTGATGTGACCATGGAGACCTATGCTGTGTAGTCTTCAGCCCATCTCATTCCCTGCTTGGCCCTGCTGGACACAGCATTGCAAAGAGATTAGACCACAGGCCACCAGGGCATTACTCAACCTGAGCCCCAGCACCAGGCCCCTGGCCCACCCCACATTGCAACACAGCAAGACAAGGAGCCCACAGTCCCCAGGGAAGCAATATGGGGCCCAGGAAGGCTGAAATAGGGCCAAAATAAGAGGAGGAATGGAGGGGGTCAATCAGAGACCAGACTCTGGAAAGCAAGAACAGCCCCTCCTTTGCCCTCTCTCTAACCCCCAACACAACCAGGTCAGCCAACATGTTGTCTGACTCCTCTGTATCCAGTGATGTCCTACAAGTCCATCAAGCATGAGTGATCAGCAAGACATGGCCTTCTGTTCAATGACCATGACCCAAGTAATTTTTTTAAAAGATGGGGTCTTGCTACATAGCCCAGGCTAATCTAAAATTCATGATTCTCCTCTCTCAACCTTCCAAGTTCTGGGATTACATGTGTGTGCCACTATGCCTAGCTTCCAGGTAAATTTATTTCCTACCTGAGATCTTCCTTTCTTAGAGCCCCTGGTCAGTACTGCTTGGAACACTTGGTCTGAGTGTCTCCTTTAAAAACCCAGGGACAGTCTTGCTGTTTGGATTTGCAAATGAGAAAAAGATGTACCTATAAGAGGTGGGGCAGAGGGCAGAGGAGCCAGTGAGCACCCTGAGCATACCTGGAATAGGGTTTAGGTGAGCCCTTCTCTGACCCTATAAAATGTCAAGAGAGTAGTGAGTGCTGGTCCCATTAGGGAGCTAACAATCACCAATCACCACCCTCACATCCACATACAGATAGGCTCAGTTCACAACAATGAATATCTCATTTTCAGGAACTTTTTTTGAGACAGGATCTCACTCACTATATAGTTCACGTTCACCTTGAACTCACAATATAGCCCAGACTGGCCTCAAACCCACAGAGATACTCTTGCATCAGTCTACTACATACTGAGATTACAGATAGGCACTATCATGCCTGGGTCATTCTCAGGAACTTTGAGTCATTAAAGATGGTCAATTGATTGATTGTGTCAACTTGAGACATTTAGAAGCTTAACTAAATGGGTTTAGTAGCTCTACATCCAAGGGTGTAGAAGACTCCCCTAGAGTGGCTCATCACCTGGACAGTATAAAGGGAAGGAGGAAGGACAAATGAATTCCATTCTTTGGAGGAGCTCCAGCCTTTGCCTTTGGTTTGGACATTGTCTCCTGGCTTCCAGTGTAGACTCTTCAGCTTTCCAGCATAGACTCCAGCCTTCCAGCATACCTTTCGGCTTTCTTTCACAGACCCATCAGCCTGCTGGTACAGACTTGCATAAGACACTGGGGTGAACTCCATACCTTGGATTGAATCCTTCAGCCTCCAGCATGCAGGCACCCTCTGCATAGTTCCTCATCTGACTCTGTGACTTACTGTCATAAGCCAATCTTGCAATTTCTTATACAATTGTATATCTTGTGATATACCTGTTTTCTTTAATAAAACCCTGACTAATACAGATTTTGGTACCAGGAGTGGGGCATGTAGAGATATCCCTTCTAAGGTAAAAGATAAATTGCTACATCTGGCTTCCCCTATGGCTAAAAAGGAGGCACAACACTTAGTGGGCCTATTTGAACTTTGGAGGCAACATATTCCTCATTTAGGTGTCTTAATCTGTCCCATTTACTGAGTGACTCAGAAAGCTACTAATTTTGAGTGGGGCTCAGAACAGAAGGCTCTAAAACAGGTCAAGGCTGCTGTATAGGCTACTCTTCCATTGGAGCCACATGATCCAGCAGATCCAATGATACTAGAAGTGTCAGTAACAAATAAAGATGCTGTTTGGAGTCTCTGGCAGGCCCCCATAGGTGAATTACAGCAGAGGCCTTTAGGATTTTGGAATAAGGCTCTGGCATCACCTGCAGACAACTACTCTCCCTTTGAGAAATAGTTCTTGGCCTGCTACTGGGCCTTTGTAGAAACTGAACACTTGACTATGGAACACCAGGTCACCATGCAACCTGAGTTGCCTATCATGGCCTGGGTATTATCTGACCCACCAAGTCATAAGGTTGGACGTGTACGGTAACAGTCTACCATTAAATGGAAGTGGTATATTCATGATGGAGCCAGAGCAGGTCCAGAAGGTACATGTAAATTCCATGAGGAAGTTGCTATGCCTGCTATATTGCCGTCTGTTTCCCAGCATGCACCTAAGGCCTTGTGATGTGTATCATACAATCAGCTGTCAGAGGATGAGAAGTCTAGGGCCTGGCTTACGGATGGCTCCGCATGTTATGCAGGCACCACCTGCAAGTGGACAGCTGCAGCATTACAGCCCCTTTCTGGGATATCCCTGAAGGACAGTGGTGAGGGGAAATCATCACAGTGGGCAGAACTTCGAGCAGTGCACTTGATAGTACATTTTACCTGAAAGAAGAAATTGCCAGATGTGAGATTATATACTGATTCATGGTCTATAGTCAATAGTCTAGCCGGATGGTCAGGAACTTGGAAGGAACATAATTAGAAAATTGGAAAACATAATTGGTGACAAATTTGGGAAGAGGTATATGGATAGATCTCTCCATAGGGGCAAAGAATGTAAAAATATTTGTTTCCCATGTAAACACTCATCAAAGGTAACAGCAGCAGAAGAGGACTTTAGTAATCAAGTGGATAAGATGACTCATTCTGCAGACAGTGGTCAACCCCTTTCTTCAGTCACCCCGGTCACTGCTCAATAGGCCCATGAACAGAGTGGCCATGGTGGCAGGGATAGAGGTTATGCATGATCTCCCACTCACCAAGGTTGATCTGGTGACAGCCACTGCTGAATGCTCAGTATGCCATCAGCAGAGACCAACAGTGAGTCCCCTGCTATGGCATCATTTTCTGGGGTGATCAACTTGCAGCCTGGTGGCAGGTTGATTATATTGGACCACTTCCATCATAGAAGGGACTGCACTTTATCCTCACTGGTATAGACATGTATTCTGGATATGGATTTGCCTTCGCTGTACGTAATGCTTCTGCCAAAACTGCCATCCATGGACTCACAGAATGTCTTTTCCACCATCATGAAATTCCACATAGCATTGCCTTTGACCAAGAAACACATTGTACAGCTAAAGAAGTGAGGCAATGGGCTCATGATTATGGAATTCACTGGCCCTACCATGTCCCTCATTATCCAGAAGCATCTGGATTAATAGAAAGATAGAATAGCCTTTTGACGAATCAGTTACAAAGCCAGTTAGATGGTTACAGTTTGCAAGGCTGAGGTAAGGTACTTCAAAAGGCTGTATATGCTTTGAATCAACGTCCACTATGTGGTACTGTGTCTCCCATAGCCAGGATTCCTGGGTCCAGGAATCAAGGGGTAGAAGGAGGAATGGTACCATTCACCATTACCCCCTCATGATCCACTAGCAAAATTTTTGCTTCCTGTCCCTATGACCTTATGTTCTGCTGGCTTAGAAGTCTTAGCTCCAGAGGGAGGAAGGCTTGTACCAGGAAGCACAACAATGGTACCACTGAACTGGAAGCTAAGGCTTTCTCCTGCTCATTTTGGTCTCCTCATGCCTCTGAGGAAACAAGCTAAAAAGGGAGTCATAGTGTTGTCAGGAGTGATTGACCCAGACTATCAAGGGTAAATTGGACTACTACTACTCCACAATAGAAGAAAGGAAAAATATACATGGAGTACGTAAGATTCCTTAGGGTGCCTTTTAGTATTACCATGCCCTGTCATTAAGGTCAATGGAAAACTATAGCAACCTAATCCAGACAGAGTAACAAGTGGTCCAGGATCTTCAGGAATGAAAGTATGAATCACTCCACCAGGGAAGTAACCAAGACC